CATGCCGAATTTTTCACCAAACCCCAAAAATTCCCCAAATCCCAAAAAACCCCCCAAATCCCTAAACCCCAAAATCCCTAAATCCCCAAAATCCCAAACCCCAAAATCCCCCCTAAATCCCCAAAATACCCCAAAAATCCCCCAAGTCCCAAAAACCCAAAATCCCAAACCCTAAAAATCCCAAAAATCCCCTAAATCCAAAACCCCCAAAAAATCCCCCCAAAAACCCCCGAAAATCCCCTAAACCCCAAAAATCTCCTAAATCCCCCCAAAACCCCAAATCCCAAAAATCCCCAAAACCCCAAATCCCAAAAATCCTCCAAACATCCCCAATCCCCCAAAATTCCCCAAATCCCAGAAGTCCCCAAATCCCAAACATCCCCCGATCCTAAAAATCCCCAAAATCCTGAAATTCCCCCAAAGATCCCCAAAAATGCCAAACCTTGGGATTTGGGGATTTGGGGATTCTGGGATTTGGGAATTCCTGGATTTTGGGAATTCCGGGAATCACAAATCCCTGGATTTGGGAATTTCTGGATTTGGGAATCCCTGGATGTGGGAATTTTGGGATTCAGAAATTCCTAGTTTTGGGAATTTTGGGTTTTGGGAATTCCAGGGATTTGGGGATTTGGGAATTCCTGTATTTGGGATTTGGGAATTCCTGAATTTGGGAATTTTGGGTTTTGAAAATTTTGGGTTTTGGGAATTCCAGGGATTCCAGGATTTGGGGATTTGGGAATCCTGGGATTTGGGAATTTTAGGATTCAGGAATTCCTGGATTTGGGAATTCCAGGGATTCTGGGATTTGGGAATTTCCTGAATTTGGGAATTTCGGGATTCCGGGATTTGGGAATTTCGGGATTTGGGGGTTCCCGCCCCTCCCCCTCCCTCATTCCCGTTTTTCCTTCAGCTCCCGCTGGGAATTCCGGACCCCCCCGCCCAAACGGCTCCGAGCGGCTCCAGAAAGCCCGGCCCGGAATTCCCAAAATTCCCAAAAGAATTCCCAGAATTCCCCCAGCCCTGAGCGGGAAATCCGGCAGAGAGCGACGCCGGCCCGGAGGCTGCAGATCCCCGCCGGAAATCCGGGAATTCCGACGGGAAATCCGGGAATTGCGACGGGAAATTCAGGAATTCTGGTGGGAAATCCGGGAATTCTGACAGGAAATCCGGGAATTCCAGAAAGAAATGTGGGAATTCCAACGGGAAATTCAGGAATCCTGGCTGGAGATTCAGGAATTCCAAGGGAAGATTCAGGAATTTTGGCTGGAAATTCAGGAATTGCTTCAAGAAATCCGGGAATTCCGTCGGGCGAATCGGGAATTCCGGGAATCCCGGCGCGTTCCCACCTTTCCGTGGCTCAGTTTTACGGGAGCCGGAATTCCTGGGACCCCCTGGAGCGCAAACGGCTCCGGGAGCAGCTCAGGCAGGGGGGGAGCCCGGGAAAATCCCGGAATTCCGGGAATTCCGGTGCGAAATCCGGGAATTCCGGCAGCAAATTTGGGAATTCCAAGGGGAAATCTGGGAATTCCAGCAGGAAGGGCAGCTCCAAAGGCAAAGGGAACGGCGGGAATTCCCGGAATTCCATACTTCAGAATTCCCGGATTTCTGTGATGGGGAAGTCCTGGAATTCCGGGATGAAGAATTCCCGGATTTCTGGTTTTGGGAATTCCCAGATTTCTGGGATTGGGAATGCCAAGATTGAGAATTCCCGAATTTCCAACGCTGGGAATTCCCGGATTTCTGGGCTTGAGAAATCCCAGAATTCCGGGTTGGAGAATTCCCAGATTTCCAAGGGTGAGAAATTCCAGAGTTCCAGGATTGAGAATTCCCAAATTTCTGGCACTACTGGGAATTCTGAGAGCGGCAATTCCCGGATTTTCACCACTGAGAATTCCCGAAATTCTGGCCAGGTGAAATCCAACATAGAGAATTCCCAAATTTCCAATGTTGAGAATTCCCAGAATTCCAGCGCTGAGAATTCCCAGATTTCCTGGAATTCTGGGAATTCCAGGCCGGAGAAGATTGAGAATTGCCTGAATCCCGGGATTGGGAATTCCCAGAATTCCGAGAGTGAGAATTCCCAAATTCCTGGCACTGGGGATGCTGGGGTTGGGAATTCCGGGAACGTTGGGAATTCCGGGGACGTTGGGAATTCCGGGAATTCCGGGCGCCGGGTGCTGCTGTCGGGGGCGCGGCCGCGGCCTCGGCTGCCCCTGGGCGCCGCCTTCTTCCGGAGCCGCGGGAATTCCCGGAAAAATCCCGGAAAATCCCGGGAACGGCCCCCGGGAGAGCCGGGAAGCGACAAGGAAAACCGGGAACGGGAAATTCCCGGGAAAGCGGAACCGGAAAACCGGAACGTCCCAGGGAGCCAGGTGAGGCAGAGCCCATTCCGGGGATTTTTTTGGGAATTTCCTGGGGATTTCTGGGAATTTTCTTGGGAATTTTGGGGATTTCTGGGAATTTTTGGGAATTTCTTTGGGAGTTTTTAGGAATTTTGGGGAATCTCAGGGAAATTTCTGGGAATTTTTGGGCATTCTGGGGGATTTCACAGAAATTTCTGGGAATTTTCTTGGGAACGTTTGGGATTTTTGGGGAATTTTTGGGAATTTCCTTGGAAATTTTTAGGATTTTCTGGGAATGTCAGGGAATTCCCAGGAATTTTGAGGGATTTTGGGGAACTTCTTTGGGAATTTCTGGGAATTTTTGGGAATCCTGGATGGAATTTTGGGAGATTTAGTGGAATTTCCTTGGGAATTTCAGGGGATTGCTGGGAATTTTTGGGAATTTTTCCTTTTCCCTCCCCAAATTCCATAAAATCCCCTCCAGATCCCGGAATTCCGGGCCGGATCCGGGATTTTCTTCCGTTCCCAAATCCCAGAATTCCCCAAATTTCCCTCTTTTTTCCCCAGGACTCCTCTGGAAGCGTCGACGATTCCCGGAATTCCCGGAATTCCCCGGCCCCAGCACAGGACTCGGGTGAGTCGGGAAAACCTCGGGAATTTCCTGGGATTTTCCCAGATTTTCTTGATTTTTTTTTTCCTGGATTTTCCCACATTTTTCCCAGATTTCCTGGGTTTTCCAGGCTTTTTCCTGGATTATTCCCGATTTTCCTCTTTTTTTTCCCAGGATTTTCCTGGATTTTCCCACTTTTTTCCAGATTTTCTCGGTATTTATCCTGAATTTTTCCAGATTTTCCCAGGGTTTTCCTGAATTTTCCAAGATTTTCCTGGGATTTTCCAGTGTTTTCCCAGATTTTCCCAGATTTTCTTGATTTTTTTCCTGGATTTTCCCACATTTTTTCCCAGTTTTTTCTCAGATTTCTCCAGGATTTTCCCAGGTTTTTCTTGGGTTTCCCCTATTTTTTTTCCCAATTTTCCCCGCTTTCTGCAGATTTTCCCATTTTTTTTCCCAATTTTTCCTGGATTTTTCCCAATTTTCCCAGATTTTCCCCATTTTTCCGTTTTTTTTCCAGGCTCTCGGTGCCCGGCCGGGCTCTTCCCGATTTTCCTGCCCAGCAAGAGGAGGTCAGAGCCCCTTCCTGCCCTTCCCAAATTTTCCCAAATTTTTCCCATTTTTCCCCACATTTCCCCAATTTTCCCCCGTTTTCCCCCTTTTCCCATTTTCCTTGATTTTCCCCAAGTTTTCCCCTCTTTTCCCCTTAATTTTTCCCACCTTTTCCCCAATTTTCCCGTTTTTTTTCCCATTTTTTCCCATTTTTTCCCATTTTTCCCCCACTCATTCCCAATGTTTCCGTTTCTTCCCATTTTCCCCATTTTCCCCTCATTTTCCCCATTTTTTTCCAATTTCCCCCAATTTTTCCTTATTTCCCCCCATTTTTCCACATTTTCCCCCGGGTTTCTGCATTTTTCCCACTTTTCTCTATTTTCCCCCAATTTTTCACTAATTTTCCCCATTTCCCCCCTTTATTCCCAACTTTTTCCCAATTTTTTCCCATTTTCCCTGATTTTCCCAAGTTTTTTCCTCTTTCCCCATTTCCCCATTTCCCCATTTTTCCCTATTTTTTCCCAATTTTCCCTTTTTTCCCCAATTTTTCCCCATTTTCTCCATTCCCCCCAATTTCCCGTGGATTTTTCCCACATTTTCCCAATTTTTTCCCAATTTTTCTGAATTTTCCCCCACTTTTTCCCAATTTCCCCCCCCAGTTCTCCCCATTTTTCCCACATTTTCCCTGTTTTTTCCCTTTTTCCCACTTTTCCCAATTTTTCCTGATTTTCCCCAATTTTCCTTGACTTTTCCCCTTTTTTCCCTGATTTTTCCCATTTTTTTCTCACTTTGCTCATTTTCCCATTTCCCGCCATTTTTCCACTTCTTTCTCATTTTTCCCCATTTTCCACCCAATTTTCCCAATTTCCCCAATTTTTCCCCATTTTCCTCATTTCTCCTGATTATTCCCCATTTTTCCTCAATTTCCCCAAATTTTTCCCATTTTTCCCAGCTTTTCCCCCAATTTCCTCATTTTTCCCAATTATTTTCCCCAATTTTTCCTGATTTTCCCCAATTTACTCCCAGGGTTTTTTTTTTCCATTTTTCCCAGTTTTTTTCCTCTGATTTCCCTGGATTTTTCCCCATTTTTCCCTGATTTTCCCATTTTTCCCTCGATTTTCCCAGTTTTTCCCTATTTTTCCCTAATTTTCCCTAATTTTCCCCTGATTTTCCCATTTTTCCCTGATTTTCCCATTTTTCCCTCAATTTTCCCAGTTTTTCCCTATTTTTCCCTGATTTTCCCAGTTTTCCTTGATTTTCCCATTTTTCCCATTTTTCCCCTCGATTTTCCCAGTTTTTCCCTATTTTTTCCTCAATTTTCCCAGTTTTTCCCCACTTTTCCCCGATTTTCCCACTTTTTCCTGATTTTCCCATTTTTCCTCGATTTTCCCCATTTTCCCATTTTTTTTCCCCACTTTTCCCTGATTTTCCCATTTTTCCCTCGATTTTCCCATTTTTCCCTGATTTTCCCATTTTCCCCTCGATTTTCCCAGTTTTTCCCTATTTTTCCCTGATTTTCCCGTTTTTCCCTCGATTTTCCCCATTTTTCCCATTTTTTTCCCTGATTTTCCCGTTTTTCCCTCGATTTTCCCCATTTTTCCCATTTTTTCCCATTTTTTCCCGTTTTTCCCTCGATTTTCCCCATTTTT